CCTTCTTCAGATTCTGATGAGGATAAGAGGATAATTTAAAGTATGTTAGCATGGTGTTCGTATGTTAAAAAAAATTAGTTTTTGTGGCTTATTTATAAGGAGTTGGGAGCCAGTGACTTAATGCTTATTTTAATATTGTTTTTACATAGGGAATTCAATATCATATGCAGCATTTTGACTTAAAGTACGTTCTCCCCTTCTAGTGCAAATATCTTTATTATCTTTTGATAAGTAATTATTGTAAAACAAAATTCCTGTAGTAATAGGAAAGCTTAACAGTTCCTGTAAATCCTTCTCCCAGAGGTGACTACTGTTAATAGTTGTTTTATCTTTTCTGACTTCTAGGTGTCTGTTTAAAAATACAGACACCTAATATAGCTTGTTTCGTAACCTATGAAAGAACCTTTCCAGAAAAGTACAGCTTACTGTTAAATACCTTCCGTAATACAAAACTTCTGCGGAGAACAGGCATGGAGGGTGATTAACATTTTTACAAGGTCTTTGCCATTTCATATTATTAATGTGAAATCTAGCAACAATTTTCCACAATTGTTCATTTTGGCAATTTAAAAGAGGGTTATAATGTTGACTTTAATTTTGTAGTTTTTGTTTTTGTACTTACAGTTCTGAAAATAAGGTCCCAGCTAAAGAATTACTGACAGCTTGATTTTTTTTTTTCCTTGCCAGTTAAAAGCAGTTGCCTCGAAATTAAATCAGATTTAATTTATTTAGTTGTTAGAGTAAGCAAAACATATTCTACTAAATAGTGCATGCTCTCTCTGGTAACCTTTTAAATTTATTTGCTTTCTGTGCTTTGTGGATTTGGCTTCTCAAAATGAGCACAGTGAAGTTATACTATTCCACGAGTTTTGCTCTGCTCAAAATAACTTTAAAACTTTCCCCTGTATTTAGTAATCCTGAATTAGAGACTGTTCTTTACAGAAGAGATCTTGGAGTACGTAAGGGTGCGTAACAGCCACCTCTTTATATTGTGGCTGTTGTCCTTCAGTTACCGATAAACACCAAACCAGTTGCCGTGGCATCAGCTCCAACTCAAGTCATCCCCCAGTAGAACTGTACTCCATAGGGCTTTCAGTGGCTGATTTTTTAGCAGTAGATCTCCAGGGACTTTGTTTTGAGGCACGTCTGGGTGGACTCCAGCCTCAAGCTTTCTTCAGCAGCTGAGTGCATTAACCATTGGCACTGCCCAGGGACTTCTCAGTTAGATTGTTGTTGTTAGGTGCCGTCGAGCCAGTTCTGACTCATAGCCACCCTGTGTACGACAGAATGAAACAGTGCTCGGTCCTGTGCTATCCTCATGATCATTGTTATGCTTAAGCCCATTGTTGCACCCACTGTGTCAGTCTGTCTCCTTGAGGGCGTTTCTATTTTTCGCTGACCCTCTACCAAGCATGATGTCCTTCTCCAGGGACTGGTCAGTCCCTCCTGATAACACGTCCATAGTGTGTGAGACAGTCTGTCTCCATCCTACCTTCTAAGGAGCATTCTGGTTATACTTCTTCCAAGACAGATTTGTTCACTTTATTGTTTTAGATTTAATGAGAATTATATAAATTGTTGTTGTTGTGTGCCCTGGAGTTGATTCCGACTCATAGTGACCCTGTATGACAGAGAACTGCCCCATTGAGTTTCCTAGGCCATGGTGCAGTGGTTAAGTGCTCAGCTGCTAACCAAAAGGTCAGCACTACAAACCTACCAGCTGCTCCACGGGAGAGAGATGTGGCAGTCTGCTTCTGTAAAGATTTCAGGTTGGAAATTTGATGAGGCGGTTCGACTCTGTTTTTACGGGGTTGCTGTGAGTTGGAATTGACTGGATGGAAACTGGTTAATCTTCACAGGAGCAGATCACAAGGTCTTTTCTCCCGTGGAGCTGCTGGGTAGGTTTGAATGTATATGCCATGTTATTTATGAAGCGTTCCTTGTGTTCGATAAATGAACACCTGTGATCCCACCACTTAGGAAAGAACATTACCCATACCCCACTGCATGTTTCTATAATATTGTGGCTATAATTACATCAGCTTGGTAGGATAACATTAACAAAAGCTCTGATGGCCAGGACTTTGGGGTAGAAAAGTTTTGGAGACAAACTTTTTAAACATGGGTTTATGTGGGAAAATAATAAATGGGGTTCTTGCGTACTAAGGTTGAATCATTCAATAAACTATAATTACGTGAGGCCCAGGCACAGAGAGATACACAAACTGTTACTTTTAGAATTGGAATCAGACGTGTTTTGACTTGACTGTTGTAAATAATACACCAGGAAGTGCTGATGGTTTCCTGGCTAGAAAGGGGGTGTTGATAAGGTAGTAGTACTCATCTGCTTAACTCAACAATGAATGAGAGTAAATTCCTTGAAGAACCATCTTAGTCATCTTTTCATTACCATTAGTACTGTCTTGTATGTAAAGTACGTTGTGTTATTAAACAGAGTGGTATATCTTAGAGACTGTGAAAGAATTATGGTAGGATGTCTTCTCATTTTAATTTTAAGAAAAGTAGAACTTACAGTCATGTTGTTTGTTCTTTGCCTCACACATTCATCCCCATCATGAGAGAAAAGCTTTAAGTTTCTCTCCTCCATGACTGCTTTCTGGACCCAGTGCCCTGCACCACAGTTGCTGACGCCTGCTTTTGTGCTACTTCTATGTCTAATCCATGCCTCTTTATTGCCCCTATACCCTAGACTACCTTATTTGTTTATATAGCTTCCATATTAGATTTAGTTCCTTGAGAGCTGGAATCACAGCTTATTTTAATTTTAATGCCCTAGCACCTAGGTCATTCCTTTCTCCAGTCACTCACCCATCCATTCAGCTCACCACGTATTTTATTGAGGACCCGCTACGTTCCAGGCAGTATTCTAGGAGCTGAGGGTACAGTGAGTAATAGAATCTCATGGAACTTTTCGTCTGGGTGAGATAAAGATATTAACCAAAGAATCACACAAATACTTACAGAAATGCAACTTAAATGGTAAATACGTTTTTTCTTCCATTTTTCCATCTAACTGTATATATGAAGGTTATTGGTTTTTGTGTATACATATATGTATTTTATATCTAGTCTGAATTTTCTTATCATTTATAATTGATTCTTTTGGTAAATTTGTTAACCTGGAAAATCATGATCCCCCTCAGCCCCCCCGTTTATTAATATGGTTACTTACAATAATAGATTTTTTAAATATTGAACTGTTCTTACATTGTGGTATAAATTCCAGTTTGTCTTGGTTTATTTTTCTTGTAATGTGCTGGTAGATTTTATTTAGGATGCTTGCATCTATATTTATAAGCAAATTTTATCTGTAGTTTTCTTTTACGCTATCATTGTCAAGTTTTGGTATCAGTGTTATGCTAACTTTTTAACGGGTATTAGGCAATTTCTAAAGAGGAAACTTAAATGATAATTAATACTGAAAGTGCTTTTATATAGAGACCTGGACTAAAACTATATTATTTTTCAATAGACTATTTTTAGAGCATTTTGAGATTTATAGAAAAATTATGCAGAAAGTACAGAGAGTTTTCAATGTACTCCTTCTGCCCCCTGCACAATTAACATCTTTTATTAACCTATTATTAACATCTTCCATTCTTGTGGTACATTTGTTACAGTTGATGAACTAATATTAATATGTTATTATTAACTAAAGTCCACATTTTATATTAAAACCTGTTGTCATTGAGTCGATTCCGACTCATAGCAACCCTGTAGGACAGAGTAGAACTGCCCCGTAGGGTTTGCAGGGAACGCCTGGTGGATTTGAACCGCTGACTTTTTGTTTAGCAGCTGAGCTCTTAACCACTGCGCCCCCAGGGCTCCATAGTTTATATTAGGTACACTGTTTGTATTGTACAGTCCTGTGAGTTTTGACAGATGTCATACAGAGTAGTTTCGTTGTCTTGAAAACACTATGCGCTCCGTCTTTTTATCCCTTATATTTATAATTTTAGTTTTATTTTTGTAATACACCATGGTTAATTACTTGCTATAATCATGTCAATTATGTAAACAATGATTTATGTTTAAATTATTACATGGTAGTTGAAAACTTGCTGTCATATGCTAACTTAAGGTAAACATTAATTTGATACTGGATATATTAGGAAAGATTTTATTTTAGAACTAGAAGTGTAAAAAAAGAACTTATAGAAAGAATGAAGTCTAGCTCTTATAATGTGGTCAAATCTAAGTTACTTTCTTGTGATTTTTGTTGATTTCATTTGCTATTCAGAGATTAGTATTTGGTAAACTTTGACAAGCAAATTGTTACTTAAGAGATTAAATTTGTCATAACATGAATATTGGCATCAGTGAAGTAGAAAATATACTATAGTGCAGTGTTTTCACTGATTAAAACTTCCTAACTGGGTAAGAACACCTTTGATAATGCCTGTTTGCTGTGTGGGTTTCCTTTAACTGAAACTGATTTGAATAACTAGGAAGATTAGAGGGTGCATTCACATTAGACAATTCTTTAATAGCAATAGATTGAAGTTTCACATTGGAAGGTGTGCAGAATACATTTAAAAAATAAAAGGACACAAGGCTTTTCCTCAAGCAGGGCATAATCTGTAGGATGGACAGTTATGTAGGCATCCAGCTAATTTTAATAATAACAACCCTTGCTAGACATTGTGTTCCAGTGGGCAGGAGTCTTACTCTCTATCATATAGTAAAAGAATAATAATTCTTGAGAGATTTAATCCATCTCCTTGTATAGAACTTGATTAACTAAAACAGAATTCTCCTACGTTTTATAACAAGTATATTTCCATCGGGGCACTGTCCTAGAGTTTGTGTGTGTGTGTGTGTGTGTGTGTGTGTGTGTGTGTGTGTGTGTGTGTGTGTGTGTGTTTAAAGAGTACTGATTTTAGGTATCTCTGTTATTATTCATTAGCCCTCTGTGGTTTAATCTCTGTTATTCTCTTTGCCTTGAAGCTTCTCTGATCACCACTGACTTAGTGGTGAAATCCACAGTACCCTCTTTGGATCTTTAACTTACATTTGTGGTATATGACACTGCTCATCGCCTTGTCTTTGAAACTGTCATTTCTTAGCTTCTGTGACACCTCTCTTCCCTAGTTTTCCTACCTACCTCCATTTCTTTTTAGTTGGGATTTTCTTTTCCTCTCCCGCTAGATGTTACTTTTCCTAGGATATATTCAGGCCTCCCTTCTCCCCATGCCCTAAGACCTCTCTTCTGTTCCCATAGCTTTAACCACTAAATTTGTGTATCAGACTCAGACTTCTGCTAAACTTGCAGTCTGTCTATTGGTCGTCTCTGGGTATTTCAAAGCACTCTAAATATCAAACAAAGTGCTTCCATTTCAGTCTTATTCAGACAGACTAATCCTTATGACAGTTATTTTACGGAAGCTATCATTTTGAATAACTGACTTCATTTAGGCAGGGAAAAATTAGGTAAAACAACAGGTCTATATCATGGTGGTTAAAAGTGCGGATACTGAAGTTAGTTGTGATAAGATATGTTGTTTGATTGGCATATGTTTGATTTCTCATAGAAATTATTTACGGCTACTGGTCCTGTTAAATCTGGGCTTAATCTAGTGAATGTGACAGTTTTTTATTTCTTTTAGTTTTAACACTTTATCATTGAAATCTTCCCCTGCCCTCTTTTTTTTTTTTTTTTTTTTAAATCTAATCTTTCCTGGGCTAGCAAGAATATTTTTTTGTCTAACACATTTAAAATTTTTTCCTTTTAACAGAAATTAGCAGAGTACGGAAAGACATGTACAATGACACATTAAATGGCAGTACAGAGAAAAGGAGCGCAGAATTGCCTGATGCGGTGGGACCTATTGTTCAGTTACAAGAGAAACTTTATGTGCCTGTAAAAGAATACCCAGATGTAAGTATATTTGGTTGTTTTATTCAGTTTTTTCTGCTTTACATACTTTGGCAAGAGATGTTTCTGCTTGTAAATACTTAAACGTTGTCAGCCGTATTTTTAAAAAAATTTCACGGGAGGGGCTAGGGGTGTGAATAATTGGACATGAATAATTTTAAAAAATTTCTTTCTAAATATGTTTCCATTTGAATGCTGCTGTGTCACTTGTGGAAATGTACATGATAAAGACTTTGTTTAGGATTTCACATTGAGGTTGGGAATTATGGAAGGAATTTTGGCCTGAGTGTCCAGGAGCACCAACTACAACTCCTTGCTCTGTCCTTATTCCGACCTCAGATGAGCCACAGCCTGGGCCACAGCAGCCTTACGTGACATGAGGAGATTGGACTGACAGCTAAGGCCCCTTCCAGTTCTAAACTTTTTATGATAACCACTGTTTGTGATCTCTTATTTTTTATCTTAGTCCACTGTTCAGCTGTTCCCTGTAAGCACTGTGTTGGGAATAGTCTCCTTATCGTATGCCGGTTAATTTCTCAGTAAATCCAGACTCTGGCTGTTGTTACGAAGCTTTGCATGACATGGTTCATTTCTGTGGCTCTGACGCATCTCGAGTGATCTCCCTCTTCCTCACTACACTATGATTGCATTGGCCTTCCTTTAGCTCTTAGAACCAGCTAAGTCTGTTCTCCGTCTTAGGATGTTGAATGTTAGCTGTGCCCTGATCTTACCGGTTGACTTCTTATCGTTAAGATATTAGCTTAAATGTCACTTCAGTGAGGCCTCTTCTGTTTTACCTAAAAGACGTCTGGTTCCTCATTGTTTCACATAAGTCTCTTTTATTTTTCTGCTCTAGCACTTACCTGGTATTTTTTTTGTTTATTTGGTTACTTTTCTATTTTCTCCTAACAAAATGTAAAGTACTTAACAAGAACCTTGTCTTTCTTATTCATTGCTGTCTGCCCCAGTGTGTATAATATTGGCACATAATAGACATTCAGTACCTGATTATTGAATAAATAAAGGAAAAGAGGTGACTGTTTCAGAGGCCTTTTCTGAAGGCAAATGGCTACCATATGTGTCAAAGATATGATATGTACTCTAAGATTCGTTGATTGTTTGGACAGTATATAATCTGAGGATGGAAAATAAATGTCTTAATGGCTAAAAGCTTTAGTATTTCACAAGTTGTATTTCCAATACAATTTTAAAATAATATTGTACTGTATTTTTGGTGAAATTACACACAGCAGAGCAGGTTCCCATCCGACAGCTCCCACACGTAATGCTCCGTGACGGTGGCCACATGCTTCAGTTGTGTCCAGATTCCCATGATTTCTGTTTTAGTTCTTTATTCTCACTGCCTCCTAAACTTCTCGTCTGTGCTGGAGAGTAACTGTTGTCCATTGATCTCATATGAATAATTTTTTTAAAAAGCACAGTTATCAAGGGTGAAATTCTTTACCTTTTGGGCGGTCCTTCTATTTAGTTAAAAGTTGCTGTCGGGATAGTTTTTGTTCAAGGTTTAAATAGTATCTCAAGGCAGTAGTCTCAGGGATTCATCCTGGTCTTAGTGAGTCCAGTAAGTCTGGATTCTTTCAGAATTTGAAGTTACGTTCCACATTTTTCCCCCCCTTTATGTCAGGTTCCATCTGTTGTGACCCTGTGGTATCTGGGTGCTATCCAGTTCTTCTGGTCTCACGGTAGAGGATGCTGTGGTTCATGGAGACAGATAGTTCTGTCCAATACAATTTTTTTTTTTTGTAAGAAGCTTATATATTTATTTTATGAATATTTTTGGTTGCAAATATACAAACAGTTCTGGATAACGTAGGCAAAAAAGGGGAGTGTATTGGATGATTGTTGAGTAGTACAGAGAAGTACAGGAATAGCTAGAGGACAAAATCCTTAGATAAGATGGGAACCAGGGCATCTCTGTGAGCCTCAGCAGCAGGCCTTTGTAGAACCTCCCTGTTGAGAGCATTGCTCATAACATAACTTGGTGTCAATGGTTTCCAGGCTTTGTCTTCAAATTTCAGATTCTTAAGAGAGAGAATGTGTTTTGGGCCAGTCTGCTATGCGTAGGTTACCAAACATAACACTGACAAGATCACTGGGGGCCTTCCCTGATAGTGGGATGATTCCCAGAGATGGGAAGTTACTGCGATTTGGGCAGCTCTCCCAGTTGGTGACTTCTACTCTTTGGTGTTTTCAGTATCCCTTTAAGTATATTAACCTTCTCAGCTACCCGATTAAACCCTAAAGGTCCAGCAGTAGTCATTAATGTAGAATATTCAAGACTTTAAGACCTAGTTAGAGAACATAACCTTGATCTGTCTGGTCCCCTTAAAAAAATTTATGCAGGGAACGGATATTTATACTGCATTATTTATAAGGCATGTATTTCACACAGTATTAAATCAGAGGGAAGGCCTTTTCCGCCTAGATCCAGGGCGTGCCTTTTCCCTGGATCTCCTTTCTTCTTGCACCAGTTGTGACTCATTGCCGTGGTGGGCCATTGTTGCTGACGGATGTATGGGCTTAGCATCGTCGAGATCAGTGGTTCTCAAAATGTGTCCCTGGACCAGCAGTACCCACACCTCCTGAGAACTTAACTGGAAATAAGCCCCACCCCAGACTTAGTGAACTGGAGATTCCAGAGGTGAGGCCCAGCAGTCTGCCTTCTAACAGTCCTTCAGGTGATGCTGGTGCATGCGGAAGTCTGAGGACCATCGCTCTAGATAGGTTTGGATTTTATCCTCAGAACAAACAGGCGAATAGACGATCACATACATGGTTACTGTGCCATCGTCATGGAGCCCAGCAGAGTGGTGAACTAAACACCGTCCCTGCTCTGGGAGCGGGCATTCCAGTGCAGGGATGCAGGCAGACACATGAGTATATACTTTGAGGTGGCAGTCAGTGCGATGAAGAACGATAAAGTGGGGTAAGCAGATAAATGGTGACGTGTGTGAGAGAGAAAGAGAGAGAAACAGGGACAGAGTCTCTTTAAGATGATGGAAATGCAGAGCCATGAAGGAAGTGGCAAGGAAGGAGGTACAGGAACTGTCTGGGGAGAGCGTCCAGGCAGAGTGAAGGGCAAGTGCAGTGGCCCTGACAGACAGCGTGCTTGGGAACGGAGGGGATGCTGGCAAGTGTGTGCTAAGGTGTGAGGTTACAGAGTTGGCAGAGGGGCCCTCCCACGGAGCGCCTGCAGGCCACAGTCGGCACTTTGGAGATGATTCTCAGTGACATGGGAAGCCGTTCTGGTGTTTCTGAGCAGAAGAGTGACCCAGTGTTGGTTGGGTTTTTAATAGATTCATCCTGGCTGCTGTGGAGTACAGGCTGTGGGCAGCGTGGAGTAGGGAGACCAGTCAGGAGGCAGCGCATGGTGACCTGAACAAGGGTTAGGAGTAGTTGGAGAGTTAAGCAATGCTTGCATTCTGCATAGATTTTGAAGTTAGAGCCAATAGGATTCACTGATAGATTGACTATAGGGGGTGGGAGAAAGTCAAGGGTGGCTCAGAGCTTTTTTATCAGTTGAAGTAATGGAACTGCCAGTTATTGAGAGAAAAGACTGAGGGAGGAGTAGGCTGTGGGGAGGGAAATGCAGCAGTTCTGGTTTAGAGGTGCTGAGTCTGAAATGCATGTCAGACATCCATATGTGGAGATGTGAAGCCGCAGTTGGAAATATGAGTTTTGGATACCTCTTTTAGTGCTCAAAAGATAACAAAAGTTTTCAAATTAAAAATTTAGTTATAATTCATAGGAGGAGAGAAATAGATATAAAACAATTTTGGTTCTCCAGGTAATTTTTTTTATACCTTGATTTTGAATTTCTTTTAAAAGAATTTATTGAGCAAAACTGGTATCTCTACATGGTTTTTGAGGTTTTTTTTTCCCTTTTAGGTTATTGATACGTATCAAGTGACTTCTGGCTGGCTTTGTGACTTGTTTTGTGACTTTGGCCAAATTGTCATTTCCGGTCCTCAGTTGCCTCATCTCTCTAATGGTCATAGCACATCTCTCACAGAGTCGTGAGGGTTAAATGAGCTACTTTGTGTAAAGCACTTGGAAAAATGCCTTTAGGCTGCCTGAGTGTTCCTAGGATGGATAGGGGCTTCTGTCCATCTGGTGCGGTGCTGTATTCCTCGTGCCTACGATTTGTTGTTAGTTGTTGTCAAGTCCATTCTGACTCATAGAGACCCCATGTGTTACAGAGTAGAACTGCTTCATAGAGTTTTCTTGGCTGTAATCTTAACAGAAGCAGATGACCAGGACTTTCTTCTGCCAACCTTTAGGTTAGCAGTCTAGCACAGACGGTTTGCACCACCCAGGACTAGTGTCTGGTAAATGGTAGATGCGCAGTCAATGTTTGTTGAGCTAACTCTTTCAAATATTGCTGTATTTTTTTAACCTGTTGTCTCTTGTGTTTGCAAATAGCAGCTTGTTAATAGAAGTCATTGTAGAGTTGGAGGCAGGAATTTGGATTGGGTATATCTAGCTGTGGGACTGATAGGAGAAGAAGACCTAAGATTGTTTGAAATGTGGTAGTGCTGTACTGTGTCTTCAGATGTTTTTGAACCATTTGCTTAATGATGGAGGAATAAGAAGGTAGTAGGAGTGGCCTGGTGGTGCAGTGGTTAAGAGCTCGGCCACTAACCAAAGGGTCAGCAGTTCGAATCCACCAGCCACTCCTTGGAAACCCTATGGGGCAGTTCTGCTCTGTCCTATGAGTCAGAATTGACTTGATAGCAGTGGTTTTTTTTTTTTTTTTGGCTTAGGAGCAGCCTATTGAAAAATATTTATAAAATTCTTATTTTTAATATTTATCTTTTAATAAAGCAAACTTTTATTGTATCTCCACTGTGTTCTAGGCGTATCCTAGAGGTGGATATATAAATGGTAGTTGAGAAAACTATTTGATAAAGTCTGGATAGTGGGTTTTGAGCCAGACAGGCCTGGGTGTTGGATTCTGGCTTCCCCTCTTACTGGCTGTATTT